CCCTAACGGACGAGTGCGGTGCGCGCTGACAGAGCGAACTAATTAAACAGCGACTGCCGCCGCCCGAGCCTCGAGAAGCGGAGATCGCCGCTCGACTGAGTGTTCTATCGACTGGCAGCACATGCACATGATTCCTGCAGCTACTCTTTGCACTTCGGTCCACGTATACTTTTCTACAAAGAAATCGATTATGAAGAATAATATTTACTTTTAGAGTAACGCACATGTATTCGCACGACGTCGATATTTCGACTAATCACGTAGAATTGGGTTTTATCATTTACAGTATACTTATTGAAAACTATGTATATATCATCCATATGTAGAATTTAATTAAATTCAAGCATTTTAAATATTTGTTATTATTGAAATGTTGATTTGTAACATCGCTTACAGAGGGCTATCGCAATGTCCTGCATTGTTTTTGTTCTTTACCTAACAATTTCAGAAGCAGAGGAATACGATTTAAAAAAAGTTTTAATAATGCACCGCTCTTTCAAGTTTACAATTATGTTTTCGGAGTACTATGGGGGATTTACCGACATGCAAAATAAGCAGTTACTCAGAGGCTGAAGTTGCTCAGTCATTGGGTCCCCACCCCCTAAACAATTATCAAATAATCGGAAAAGTCTTACAAAGTGTGAAACGACTGTTGCTCAAATTGTCTATTATACTAAAAAGTTTATATTTTTTTAATAGTTGATTTTTTTACTAAATCTGGAGGAAATGTTACCGGAGGGGGTGATGATTTTGTGACTTTGGGATTCTCAGCATTTAAATTCGGCCCTGGGTATACCCTATATACATATTTGATTTCTGAACTTCAAAAATTGTGCGTTGAATACGAAAATAAATGTATATGCTCTTTAAAAAGAATCAGCTAACAAACTACTCGTGCATTTTTGTTGGTGAAAATTGATTTACAGTCAGGTTGAGTTTAACACGTGCCCGCGTCCACTGAAAAAGCAACTCTTATCTAAAACCACCATATGATTATGACCTTTGAGGTTAAGTTATTCGTACTGACCGCAACCACGAAATGAAGTTTTTAGATTTTTGACTAGCATTTATATTTTATTTTAGTCGAGATGAATTGGTCACCCATACCCCAAGTTTGTATCTGCTTGAGTAAAGTCATAATAACACAACAGAAACGTAAACCATTATTGTTAAATAATTTTGTCTTGTCTGTAAATAAATTTCATTATTAAACTGAATTGTATGTCGTCGATTCATCATGTACGTTGTTATAACGTAGATTACCAGCACAAAATGTGTAAATCAGCTTTGACTGGTTGAGCCTAGGGAGTATACAGAGTATAGGTGCTTCGTTAGTTGTTGAATTTCGAATGAGAAACGAGTTGCTTTTTAAACGAGTATTCTACGAGATCAAGACCTGAAATCGAAGTTCCGACAAAAAAGGAAACAAAAATTGTGTGAAGTGGAATGTCGTCGCACAAATCGCCAAGTTATTAACAATAAACATGAAAAAATAATCGAATACTGTGAGAATCAGGCTAGTACTATTGATAAACTACTCATGTTTCTAAAAGCCAGATACTTCACGGAAACCCACGGTTATATGTTAAAAAAATATACACTCAAAACGATGGTGTTACGTAACATGAATGATTGATTTTGATAGCTAAAGAGACCTCTTTTGTTTGCGTCGTTAGAAACAAAATATTACTGCAATTTTTGTCGCTTTTAAATTATTTTGTTTGAAACAAACCACAGGAATGCACAATATCAAATGAATTCTTTAATACCCGATACAATTCATTAGAGAACCGTAGGTGATACTAGATAAAGGGTTTCGTGACATATGATGATAATTACTCTTCCTCGAAGCCTGTTTCAAGAGACTATTTATCTCAAGCCCTTTAGATGAATTACTCCGAAGACAGTAGGACCTTGTGTCTGGGTGCACGTGCCCACAGCTCTTATATTAACAGTTAATGATCATAAAGAATACTCAAGAGACACTTTTTCATATAGTTTGTAATGAACGTTATTAACAAAGGTAATACGCCTTTAACCGTTTCTTAAGTGACCCTGGAGCACAGTTTGTTCAAGATGTGAGCTAAGCAATTAATTGTACCGTAAAAGTAATCTCTTCTTTGAATTTTGAGCTCAACATACATTGCAAATAAAATTTCCTTAACGAATGCTTCCAAATTGAAATATACTTCAAACGAAGAATATTTTGATATTTCTGAATGTCGCAAACTAACATTTTATCAACTTTATTTTCTGATATTTTACTTACAAATTGAATAATTGCTTTCAACATTAACGAGATTCACCGTCTAAACATAATTTCAAAATTATTTATTTACTGCGGTAATAGTAAGTATTCAATAATTTTAATTTTATAATTGTCACGTATTGTCTACTCTAAGACTCTGATATTTTTACAAAGAATAATTGTAATGCTTGATGTAGGGTAAAATACTCTGCAGTTGGGAATTAATAATTATCCTCGAACTCGATTTATTCTGTCAACCCGAAATCAATTCGAAGTTAATAAATTTATCTCCATGGAATATAAAAATGTATGGCCTTCGATATGTAACGAACGCCTTCCGTTGCCGACATCCGTCTTTTTCTTCGTCACGTCGGCTCCGAAAGCACTTAAAAATCACCCTCACCGTCTGTTATCGTACCCGTTCCGATAACCGCCTCCAGCGATAGTGTGAAGTCAATCCGTCTGGAGGCGGCGCGCCGGGTCGCTGCAGCGACAGCCACGAGTCAGCTTCAATCGAGAGCGCATCTCGACATGGAACACGCCCCGCGTCGGCTGCGCGCGCGCCTCACCGCCATCACCGCCGCCTGCACTTCCACGCGGGCAGCGAGCGCAGGGGCATGGCCATTGCCTCTGGAGCATCGTTGACGGGGAGTAGGCATGCGACATCGATGTAGATGTTTTTCAAACGATGGTTTTCTAAAGTCATCGATGTACGTAACATCGATATTTTGGAGCCGGTGTTTTTAATATCGATCATTGATGATTTATGTTCAATATTTGACCGTGGTCTATATTTTTAAAATAAAAAAGTATATTACAAAGAAAATCTACAATATTTTCAAATATACAAAAACATTCTTCGGATCGAAGTGGCCAAGGGTAAAAAAATCGAGTATTCGTCAATAAATAAGCCTATTTTATTGTTGATTAATTGAACCAATTAATCCAAGCTTTTTAATTATTCTGATGATTTTTTGACTTCGTTTTGTCAATTAAACCTTAATTAAAAATTGATAAATGCGATCACTTTTACAATAAACTCTCATTCACACATGTAAAATTCAATGGCCATTAGTACAGTTTTAAAAACTTCAATGTTAAATAGCATAGATGGTTTTGGGTCTTATTAAGATCGATGTTTTAATTTTCCGTCAATGTTTAAAAACATCGATGTTTGGTTAACGATGTCGCATCTCTAACTGAGAAGTCCTGCGGTTCGAGTCCCGACGGTCTCGGATTTTCGGCACTACCTATTCACCTGCGTTGAAATCAGCCACTGCGGAGAAGAATTTTCGCAGCCGGCTGCTCTATCTGTCGTTTCGCATGGTTTCTCCGATCAACACCAGGTGAATGTGTCGAAGCGGTACCCCAGCAAACGGGCAGTGTAAATTACCGATTCGTCCAAAACGCTCAGAAATTTTACAAATTTTAGGTATAAATAAAAACAAAGTCAAAGGTCAAACATATGCACTACAAATGATGGTTATAGCTTTTTTTACGTCACATTGAACAAGTCAAAAACATTGTAGACCAATCGGAAGGGGTTTTGATTTTTTCGGCCGATTTCACGTGGAATTATCCACATGGAATTAACCACGAAAAGTTCTGAAGATTAGAGGAATGGAATTAAGATTTAATAGATTCAGATTTTGTGACGTATCGGAAATGAAAAAGTCACTGATAATAATCGAATAAATGCCGTTAGATTATTTATTAATTGCTATAGTCACCTGAACTATTATCTTTATTTCTCACCAAATATGTAGTAAATAGATAATTGGTAATGAACAATTCGGGTAACGAACATTGAGTTTGCACGCTTTACGTAGTGATGTTTGAAGAAATTGTGATCAATCATCTTGTTTTGCACTAATGCATTATCCCATTAAAGCCTTCAATAACCCTTTAATCATCTGAATTGATTGGCGCAAATTCCGAAAATATTTCTTTCAAATTACAATTTAATCCCAAGGGACTTGGGGGGCCACAGTAATATTTTCATTATAATCTCCAAACGAAACGCAACATAGCTCTGAGAATATGTTATTCTCTCAGCACAATTTAGTAAAATCGTGAGATAGTCATTTTTGACATTCGTTATATCATTCGAAATTCGTAAGACATTCCTCAAATTATTTGAGAGACGTGTTTGTTACTACTCAGCAATGGAGGATCGAGAAAATATTTCAGCTTGACTTAACTTGAAGCCGTTACAATCGAAGAAAGCTTATCATTTCTGATATAACACTGCTAGCAAATCTTAGTACATTATATTTTTCTAAGGAACGTCCTAAACACATAAATGGATATTGCATTTCATATAGGCCTAAAATATCTGGTTTTACAACATAATTTGCGACACTTCTGTGAAAAAATCGGATATAGAAACGAGAGAACCTTCTCTTTGAAATATGTTTCTATCAAATTATTTTCATTTTTTGTATGGTATTTGCTTAATTCTTTTTGTCAATTGCACAATGTGTTTCTTTTGCAAAGAGTAAGAAAAGAAATTTCAATTTAGAAGAGAAATAGCACACATATTACCGTTGAGAAAAAATATGCGGAAAATTAAAGAGAATTGTTTATAGAGATGATATCTTATAAATTATAATGCCCAAACTTCCATTGTCCGTCGAGAGCGACCACAGGCAAAGCCCAGCGTCCTTTTGCACCCTCGCTCCGCCCACGCCTGACCTCGTGTGGGCTTTGTGGCTGGCAGCGCTGAGCCGAGCCGCTCGTCTTGTGTCCGCAGGATGCTGAACGAGGACGAAAAGCGGCCGTTCGTGGACGAGGCGGAGCGCCTGCGCAAGATCCACAAGCAGGAGCACCCGGACTACAAGTACCAGCCGCGCCGCCGCAAAGCCACCGTCAAGGGCGCGAACACCGGCGCCGGGGCCGGGGCCAACGGCGCGGTCGGCGGCGGCGGCTGCGGGGCGTTGACGGGGGCCGTGAGCGCGGCGCAGGGCGCTGCCATGGCGGGGACGGGCCCCGCGCCCAACGCCGTCCCCGCCGACTGCGGCCCCCCCGGCGGAGGGCCCAGCCGCCCCGGCCTCCCGGGCCAGCACCCGCTCTCCATGTACAGGTAGGCACGGCGCCGGCACTACTTGGTTTTTTATTTCTTCTTTATCCGATTAAAAGTACTTTGCACTTAATGAGTTAGAGCGGGCGGGGACACTGTTATCCAATCGAGAGCTTACTTTTTTGATGAGGTCAATATAGCGTTCAAAAATCGAATCTTGCGATATGATCACAGTGCCCCCTCTCGTAACTCACAAAGTGTCAAATGCCCAATACTAATTATCCTAGAAGACTAGTGTACAAAGTGTCAAATGTCCAATACTAATAATCCTAGAAATTTACCGCTTGTTATTAGTGATGAATAAAATTTACTCACGTCAAAAGTAAACAATTTCTACACGAAGAAAGTAGTAAATTATGCAATGAATAATTAGAATATCGCTAAACAACTTTTTTAAAAGACTCCAAAAACAAATAAACATTGAAGTAAGTTTTACTGTATCGCACAACAACTGTAACTACTACTGTAACAAACTATGTGTGTTTATATATAATAATATGAACTATATAAATTACCCATGTGTGTTTATATATTCAGATATCGTACGTATTAACTTCGCGTTGAACGGAGAATTAGCAAGTACACAACATATTAAAAGACTTTTGAACAGTCTCACATATGAACACTTAAAACACTGCTTTGTAGCCCACTGCTTAGTAAATAGTCAATTGTTAGAATAAGTTTTAGGAACTTACTTTCAGAAAAAACAAAAATGTCCACTACAATATCATATTGTACAAAAATGTATAATTTAGTTCAAGATGTGATTAAATCTTGATTGTAGCCTTGCAGAAATATGATGAAGCAACATGCCATTGTGGTATCATTGTCATGTAATACATATTTATTCGGCATTTTAGGGTCAAATTAATCCCACTTTTGCTAGCTAGCGGTGTTCCCAGGCCTGGCCTCCATTTTATTTATTATCCACACCTACGGATAAAGGAGACTTGCGGCGAGCTGAACGTATTCACATCACCGAACCTAGTTTACTTGATCTGCCTGAGCAATCCTTTCGTCACACAGCTTTAGAAACAGATGATTCGTATTAGAAAGCTACACCTTTATTTTTGCCCCGACTGAGAATCCAACCTCGGAGCGCCTCACAGAAAGCTAGCACGCCGTTCATGAGCCAAAAAAAGGGTTATTTTCATACAATATCCTTAGTTTTATTGCAGTTTTAATATATTTAGTACTGCGTAGGTTCACACCGCGTTACGGAAGAATCTGCTACCATAGATAAAGAAACATTAAGCAAATGCCATAACAATCAGGAACATCGGATGTGAGCTAACTTCAATGAGAAGAGGTGAAAGTTATATTTTGCCACCTCTTCACATATATGCCAAAATATTTAATGGAACGGATATCAAAGAGTAATGCGAATTAAAAAAAATGCTCTTTCTTCTATAAATTAGTACATTTACTTAATTATCGGGATGATTTTTCTTACTTTCGTAATGAATACATTGAGAGAGAAAATGGTGTTCGCCACTCAGTTTTATTACATATTCCACGAATTTCATAATTTCACGAATTGATTATCTAAAATGATGTAGTTTTTATTGTGGTCATGAAAGCGAACTGGTAACTTCATTGTGGTCATGAAAGCGTTGGTAACTTCAGTTGGTACATAGTACATGTTATCCGCGTATGTGCTATTTTATTCATCACTAGATAGGTAATGCAATTTCTTCGAGTCTACATAAATTCTCAGATAATTCCCATTCCCATAGAAATACGGTCTACTTCGATTGTAATGAACCTCTGGAGTCTAGCATTTGAGGTTTACTATAACATAGGTTCAGTATATCTGATAATCCCAAAACATAATCTAGTTTCTATACTATGATTGATTTTATAATTTCAGATGTACAATTAAATCTCTAATCTCCGCAATTTCAAAGTTTCAAATATTCATGCTTTCTTCGCACTCGATTCTACATTCTACATTTTTCGCTCCAATAATGTTAGTTCACACTTAACATCCTTCAAAACTTCTTGCACTGTTGGAGTACTTTTTTTATGTTTGTAGCCTCTTTGTCATTACATTCTTTTTCTTCGGTTCCGAAAAAACCTTTATTCATATTTATCTCTCACCAATATCAGATTTGAATAGTTTTCAACTTGCATTCCGCGTCGATCACTTCAAGTTGGACAGAACTGCTATTGATGACCTGAAGAAATTCCTTCGGTGGCGCAGTAATCTTAAAACCTTACATTCGCCATACATGGTACAAAAATATCTCATGAGAATTTTCTCCCTGTAAGTTGTATTCACTGTGCTCACTATAACCGATGTTGTTCGTGAATTAGAGTTCGCTATAAATGAATGCGAAGGTGTCCAACTTGGAAGGGTCTCAAGGATCATTACTATGATTGCGGGCCAAATTTTCATTATTCGGGCGATCCACATGTGACTCTGTATTGTTGATCGTGTAATTTGCCCAGCTGTTCTGAAACGAGAGGAAGGGGAGACATTCGTGATATCAGGAATGCATAACGCAGTAAAACACATTGGTATGATTTTGAATTTCGTAATGTCCGAAATGTCCGGTTTTGATTCAGACAGCAGTGTGTTAGGCGCGCAGTGTTCTTGCCCGATACGAATGCAAAGGTCTTTCACTTTCAACTAATAGCCTTTCGCGGGCCACATTAAATGGCATTGCGGGCCGCCCATCGGACAGCCCTGTTCTGTTTATGCAAGTGGATCGAGACAAGTTGCTTCGGCTCCCTGTACCCGAGTTCCCTCTATCGGGAGTGGTCCGCACGAGTAAGACAATTCTCAAAGGCATGGACGCGTTTGTTGTTGGCGCAGCCGAGGGCCGTGCAAGCAGGAGGACAGCCTGAGCTGCGGGGCGTCGTCTCCGCGCAGCATGCTCTCGGGCTCCCCGCACAGCACGCAGGGCCCGCTCACGCCGCCCAGCACGCCCAACGGCGCGGACAAGCGTTCGGCGCCCCAGCCCCAGCAGCAGCAGCAGCAGCAGCAGCAGCAACAGCAACAGCAGCAGGCGCTGCTCCAACGCCTCAGCCCCACAGGTGAGCAGCTCGGCCGCGAAGGCACACACACACGCACGCACGCACGCGAACGCGCTTTCAAGGGTAGCGACGATGGCAGAAAGAACGTGGGTCAGCTAATATCGTTGTCGCAAGAGCCGGAGCGTCTGTGGAGGTACCTGCTGACTTTAGCTCGGAGTGAGCATTGGCACTGTGTCTGTAGTGACACGGACCGGGAGGTCCTAGTGTTTGAGACCACACGGTGGCGGATATTCGACACTATCTAGGTGGCTATGTCGAATTTAGCCGCTTTAGCTTAGCCGAATTTAGCTGTCTGGGGAGAAATTGCAGCGGCCGGCTGCTCTGATAGGTAGTTTTCCGAATGTCGGAGCAGTACCCTACCAAAAGGGCCATGGACCGCGCGCGATCTTTCCTTCATCAGGCTTGTCTCCTCGTCTCCCTTTAAGCACACACATACATCATGCACTAACGTTCTACACATGTGTAAGTTCCGACATGTTGGTCGGCGCCAGATCTCACCATTCTCCGCCTTGGAGGAACACCGTCACTTCTCCTGATAAAACAATCATTATATAAAGGGGGTGAATGACCATAGTAGTTGACGTGCCCGGAAATATCAATCAATAAATTCTGTGCAGCTGGGAAGCATCAGGATGGTCCGATTGTTCAGGCGCCCTACCTAGTCCTCCCATATCGCCATACGCGCATCACATATTTTCTATAATGTGGTGATTGGCGCTACATAGTGAGGCATGTGTGCGTGTGCACTAGCGTAAACCTTTCGACGCCACTCGAACCACGCTTACAAATTCTTGGGGATACCGCGAAATACTTATTACGATAAGTATTATTAGTTGCATACTTATGTACGTATACTTATTCAAAGTTGGAACAGTGTCGAAAAAAGAGCCACAGCCTAAAAAGGTTATTACTCAAATATCTAGAACTTCATTCCTTTGCGCCTGTGTAAAATATGCTATACAATTTTCGACCACCTTGTAATAAGTACGAGTCAGATAATAAATTTGCCGTTTAAAGAATGATATATGCAAATACAAAATACTAATGCCGCAAAGACTGGCGTTAAATACCTTAAAGATACAATAATACCTACCAGTTTCGGTCGTTGAAGTCTGCCTAGTAAGAGTATACCTCTAATTCGTGTGGGTGTCGTATGACCATCTTCAGCTGAAATGCCAAGTCATTCTCAGGCGTTTTTCCAAGCACCTCATTCGCGGGGGTGGAGAACAGTCATCCACTAGCCGCAGGAAAGTAATATCACTCTTCACATGTCTATTTTGTAGAGAAAAGAAGTGTCAACTCCAATAAGTAAATACCGGCCAACTATTTGATTTCAATGGAAAGAGATCGATGGAATTGATTATTATTTAAAAATGCATTAGAATGAAGTCGCAATTATTTAAAAATTCATCTGTGAAGTTACAAACAAATACTACAGAACAATTGTATATGTTAACGAATTTAACTCCTTAAAATGAAATAAATCAAAATACATTAATTCTGGTTATTTGCATAACAGTGACAAATCCCTCCTTCATGATACTTCAAAAATGTTCGTCCTTCAGTGTTCCATATACGCTCCGTTTTCTCTTATATGTTCCAATCCAATTGTGTTTCAGGAAAGACAATATAGTGTCCATAATTTAAGAACTACTATTGTTCTTCGAAGTAAAACCAAACAAATATATTTTTTTACAACCAAATAACCTTATTTTACTTGCATTTATCTTGTCTATGAATAAGAAAAGGACGTATCTAAATAAAAACATATGTCAGTAACTCTTTTGTTTTGAAAATGATTTTTTCCCCCTCAAATGGTGACCTTCTACTTCGAATCGACGCTTTTAACCCACTTCATGTTCTTCAGCATACCAGTGAGCTTATTCGATGACCTTAAGGCCAAGCACAAGACACGAGAAGCAGCATCATATTTTCTGTCTTATCCGCTCTTGCTTCTGCACG